TGTTTGTACGACGAGTCCAGCGATTGGATCAGTTTGAGTGACAGGAGGCAAAACATGCCGACATCTCTTTGGCTGGATTTGGTCTTATCCTCGATGAAGACCACAGTCAGAGCCGATACACAGATCTTATACGGCGTGACATTGAATTGAGTCAAACCACTTCCCGACTGACTGTCCGCACGGCTCTGACCGCCGAGAATAGCGTTTCGATCCATTGGTCACCCGATTGGCCGCCAAATTGTCTTATGATATGATTAAAGGGTTTTGAAGATTCAAAAAGTGACCACAAAATCACATCCAAAGCATGTCTTCACTCATTGGTTGTGGTAATGAAAGCGTTCATCGATTGCGCCAAATATGACACACATTTGCCGTACGTTTCGCTCAACACTTGCCGTCAATTCATTCAAACCATTCAATCGATAATTGAATCACAATTTAAACCAAATTACAAATGAAAGCAATTATCAAATGACACGATATTTGGCCACAAAATGAGCACAAATGAGACCAAAAGCAGTGAATGAATGGCAAAACAAACCCACAAATCGGCGTTTCGTTGCTTTTCAACGTTAGACCGCTTTTGCATTCAAGGCTTTCGTACTTTTCATTGGATATGTTTTCTGTCGACAAAACCATTGATTAAATGTTTGTGTATTTTGTGATCAAAACATCAAAACAACTCATTTTTATCACATTTTTATTTGACATTTGCTTTTAATTAACACTTTTTTAATTCAATTAACGCTTTATTGTTATTAAAAATGTTTTCCGCAATCATTTGTGAACACAATTAGCGAAACGTTTTAATTAAATATAAGCCGTGTTTTCAATGCAATTAAATGTCAAATAAATGGTATTTTTGACTCAAAATCGCATTAAATAAACCATTTTTTGATGAAATCGAGTCAACAATTACTGAATCGAGTAATTAATTAAACTATTTATTCATTTTTTATGTTATTTTTATGTAAAAGCAATTAATTGTGTGATAATTGTTGTGATAATAGATATACGAATCGGTGTCCAAAATGGATGGTTTGCTTCACAGACATCGTGTGGTAAACCGTCGGGAATGCCGTCAATTGGGCCGCCATTTGGCCGCAAATGTGTGTAAACAGAGTAAACCACAAATACATCGGATTAACTGCGAGTCCGAAGACATACTGAGCTATGCGTTGGACGAGAAGTCATTGCCCGGTCTATACATCGCTGCCAAACCACTTGAGCCCGACTTAAATGAATACTTTGAGATCGAAGTGATTGAATGCAGTTCTGCCGCAGACATCGCGTTAGGTCTCGTCCCTAATAACCACCCATTGGATCAATTGCCCGGATTTGTGGCCAATTCTGTTGGATATCACGCCGGAGACGGAAGGTTTGCATACAATACTTGTATAAACGGTTGTTTAAATGTTGGCCTCATTTATGTCAATGGTTTTGTAGGATATATTTGGGACATCAAAGGGGAACAGTAGTCGCCGGCAAGTGTGAAGTCGGCGACCGAATTGGTTGTGGCGTTCGCTTTGAGACCATCGATGACTCGGTTGACCCATATTTACAGAAATTGAATCCAATCGCGCCGTCGATGAAAATGAAAGTGTATTTCACGTTAAATGGATCTGAAGTTTGTTTTGTTAACAATTAATGTAATCAATGATTAGAGTTAATGATTTGATTTGTATAGATTGGCTCAACAGTGATCACACCATTGCTTGCGAGAGGGAGTCCTTTATTTCCTGCCATTGCGTTGTGTTCTCCCGGAGAGGAAGTGAAGCTGAATCTGAGTCTTCGGTGGTGTCCCTCTTCGTTAACCAGAAGCATATCAAACGAGTCGTTGATGTGTATCGACAGCTATGAAGACGATTGGATGCGTTTACATGATATTCGTCTCAATGGAAATGTATGTTTTGCTATTCATTTAATGTAAAAACCATTTTTCAAATGATTTGTTTTGTGGCTAAAGGTATTAGAATATGCGGGACGAGGGAAGAGTATATTAGACGTGGGCTTAGCTCAAGCCAGACAACCACTCGACACTCAATATCATTATTTTGAGATTGAAATTCTAGATCCCGGAGAGAACTGTTATATCGCTATCGGGTTAACACGAAAAGTGAGCTCTTGTTTACATGAATAAGTGTGTGAATAACATATCAAACATTGTGTTTATAACTGTGTAATAGGAGTACCCGCGACACAGTCATCCGGGTTGGAACAAAGGCTCCATTGCATACCACGCAGACGACGGCAAGATATTTGTCGGTAGCGGTGCTGGCGATCCATTCGGCCCGAGTTGTCATAGAGGAGACCTAATGGGCTGTGGAATCAAATTTCCCCGTAATTTCAATTCCGGACGAAGCAATCGAGTGTCAAAAGGCGTGAAAAAGTCAAACAATAGCAATAGTAGCGACGACTCGGAAGTGATAAACGTTTACAGTTCTTCGGACGAACAGTTGGATCAGTTGTCGCAGTCTTCGCATTCTGGGGCCGAGAATGACTCGTCGATAGACAGCGACGAAAACAACGACTGGAATGAAGAGAAGGAATGGAAGGGTTGGATGATTCCTCTGCACAATGATTTGGTTCCACTAAATCCCAGGTTTATGGGCTATCGGCACAATTTGGGACCAATGCCTCCGATGGCACCCATCCCTATGCTTCCACCGCCCAGTAATGGCTACAATTACATTGAAAGACCAGATTATAGGCTGGAAGAGCAGAGTTGGGGTAAAGTTGAGGTATTCTTCACACGAAACGGTGTAATAATCGGACAAAAAGAGATTTCTATACCAAAAGGAGGCTTTTATCCAACGGTCGGAATGCTTAGCACTGCTGAGAAAGTTCGCGTAGATTTACATCCGCTCACCGGTTGACACATATTTATCATATCTTTTAAAGCAATTGTTTTAAATTATTCTTATATTTAAATCTTAATTATTTCATTGACTCTCTCTCTCTCTCTCTCTCTCTCTCTCTCTCTCTCGAATGTATTAGACGTTAAATACAATTGTGTTTTGAATTATTAAAAGTATTTGAAACTAGTATAATATTAAAATAGACAATAATTATTATATTTATTAAGGGTTTACTCTTTATATATAATGTAATTTCCAAACATTAATGAATTTTAATTTTAAATGAAAAGTTATTTTTGAAAAAATGTATATAAAAATTGTTTTATTCTTAATATTGAATGTTTTATTTGAGTTTAGGGCTAAAAGAGAGACACTTTGTGTACAAATGATTTGTTTTTATTATTTATCGTATTTTAAGTTTTGTATACAAAAAATAGTTAAAGCGATTCAAAAGAAAAGAAAACTCAATGCAAACAGAATTGAATCCAATTTTAAAAAGTTGTTAAACCAATAAAATCTCATTATTTTATGTGTTCTTCAAAATAAATAAACTTTTCAATCGATTGATTGTTAAATTAAAATGAAGTGATCTTTTTATTTACGCGCAAAACAAAAGTCTAAATCGAAATAATTGTATATAAAAAATGATTATTTCGTATAGAATTGTATTATCAATGTTCGGATAAAATCTTTAATTATTTATATTAAATATAAACAAAACATTAGGGAATGCAATGCCTTTCTTTATCAACGCTATAATAGTTATTATAATTTCAATTAAAAACTCATAACACGTGAAAACATTGGCTCAGCTGTTGGTGTTATTCACTTGGGGTTTGCTCTCCTCCTGGAGCTGTATTTGTTGGATCTGTTGGATGGGTATTCTTCGGGTGCGTTCGCCTTTCCTCCACAACACGATCTCTTGTTGCTTGAAATACCTGCGCTCTTCTTCGTCCACTAACACTAGATTCAGATAATAACGAACCGAAAACTTTTTGTTTATGTCTTTCATGGTTGGCGTCAACTCATAACCGGCCAAAAACAGTCGGATGGGTATAGACTCGCCGCGAACGGGCGCGCCGTCCATAATCTCGTATTTGGCGATCGTCTCGTTCTCGTTGAACGTGTTTTGGCCGATTCCTGTCGTCTCTCTCTTAATGATTGCTATCTCCATGTGTTTAATCTTAATCCTCACGAGTAAGAAATATATTTTGCCCACAATTACGTCCTTCAGGTGATATCTAAACACCAATCACAGTAATCATTACATTTGTCCGCACATTAAAGCCAATAACTCGTCGCTTACTTTGATTTGTTGTACTCAAACTCTATGTGCAAACAGTCTTCGATTCCGACTTCCATTTTGATTGGAGAATTCACTTCTGGATAATGAGAGAGTGTGTGGACAATGAGGTCCAGCTCTTTGACAATATCAGACAATCGGCGAACTATAGTGACCCGTAAGAAATATCTGAAGCAAAACAACACATCCATTAACATTACATTCATAGACATTGTGTGGACACAAGTGGTCATTACCTGAGCCTAACATTAGATCCCGTATAAGATTCGTAGGGCTTCTCGACGTTTAAGAATTCAAACGAAAAGCTCGTGTTTTGCATTAGATCTGAAGGTCGGGCCAAGTCTTTGACAAGTGATGTGAACTCGTGATGATTACCCCTATCCTGATAGAGCTCTATCTCACCCACGAACTCAACTTTGATCCCCTGATGCTCTAACTTTGTTCCCAATTTCTTTAACGTTATGTTTACCTGCAATCAAACAAATATGCAATCAATGCAAACAAACTAATAAGTCTATTAAATACTAAACAACAGAGAAATTTTAGAAACAAAAACAAAAACTAATAGACATTTTGACTGCAAAACAATACAATTAATAACAATTCTCTCATAGAAATAAATGACTCAAAAAGAGTGTCAACTCTTATCTAAAGTGTTCAACACTTGAATTAAATAAACAAAATGTGGCGAAACTCTTGTAAATGTAAGAGAGATTAGACCGGGAATGGCAGTGAATGGATGAATACCTTTCCGGAGACAGTCTCGCCGTCATAATAGAGATAATACTTCTCTTTCTTCCCGTCTTCGGTCTTCATTTCAGCCATTTTGCGGCTTTCATTGCCGTCGAGAATGATGTCTATGTCTGCCGTTTGACGGAAACCAAGAAAACTCTGTTTCGGACACAATATTGACAACAAAATTAGTTTTTAATCTCAATAGCGATCCAAACGATTGGATGGCAAGCGTTGACAGCGAGTGTCTGTCACTGAATCACATCCAATGCTTAGCAATGATTAGCAAATGATTACCATTTTGTCGATTAAATCAATTGATGAACGGATTTAAGAAGAGATTTGTTTATCAAATGAAGCGATGGTTTGTCTCGAAGTGGGAGTAATAGTGAAGCAAATGAACCAACAGTTCAACCATTTGTACACCAATTGAATGCAATGTTTATATTGAATGCAAAATATGTTTGACTCAAACACTTGTCATATGTTTGTCGTACAGACGGCACCACTCTATCAGTCCATCACTCTATCCAACCCTTCGTTCCCTCAATTCAGACAATCTCTTCATATTTTCAATCACTTCAAAAAGTTGTACAAAATGTACCAAAAGTTCATTTTTATGAATTCAAGTTTTTTCTTCTTTTATGATCATCTTATTGTCTTACAAATACTTAGTTTGTATGCAACTTACAGTACAAGTTAGTGAGTAATTAATACATACAGGTATAGTGCATGCGATTGTGTGACCGATTAAAATAGCCAATTTGTTTTTGTAAAGTCTTATACAAGTGCTCAAAAGTGTAAATATGATCACTTACCATCATGATTCATGATCCCTCATCACTCTAACAGTTTACTTAAATACAGTATAGGCCTAAACATACTCTAACTGTTAGAGTCTGACATTTTCTACCATTATTTAAATTGTAGTTCAGTAATACTGAATCAGTATAACAGTCAAGTTTGCGTTACATAAGTTATATAACAATAACTTTATTAATCATTTTCACCACAAACTTAAACAATATCTTTTTAATTTTTAAAAATAGTATAACATTAAAATAAAATATATACTGTAGTTGTTGTAAGTGATTTCCCCTTATCATAATGCATTATGTGTTAGAAAACCAAACAATTGAATAACTGGTTACAAAGATGACCATGTTTAAAATGTACCAAAAAGTATTTGCCATGTTTGAATTCAGTTACAGTTATATGATTTATATGAGCGACAAAAATTAAACATAAAATTTGTATTTTTAAAAATTGCATTTCATTGTTCATTGCTTTCAAATCACTTATATGTTTGCAATTGATTCGGTTATTAGTGTATAACTGGTGTCTGAATATGATTTGTTACAATTGATTCAAACTATTTGATAGCCATAACATGCAATCTATTCATATCTAGTGGTCATTCAAATGAATTGTCCAAATATTTATATTCATTGCTTTCAAACTGCAAGTTTCAGTGCATTGACAATTGTGTGCGAAATATAAATAAATCGCGACTTATATGAGTGCATCACTTGTTGTCAATATTGCAATGTTATCCTCAAATAGTGCCAATTCATGTCAATTAGCCATTACATGACAACAAAGCCATAAACCAAACAAAAGCATATGTTTTGATAGCAATTAATGGGACAAATGGTTTAGAGACTAATAAACCACTTTCTTGTCTCTTATCATTCAATGTTTTATTTGCTCATTCATTGTAAATAGTGGTATACTTGTTGTCTACTTTAGACAGGGGTAGACAGGGCTGTCCATTGGCAACAAATATGTTTATATAGTTAACTAACTATTAGAAAATTGTAATTTTTAGAAAAAGTCAATTTAACATCAATTTGAAGATTTGTCAAAACTTGGGTCTTTTCTCACGTAAATAACTCTTACATAACAGAGTGTCAAATAGTAGTGACTCTCAAACCATATGGTTATCAATTGTATTGCTATTAAATCATGACTCATAGCATGTGATCATACAATAAGTGATCGCTTAAATTATTCACTGTTCACCACAAATGATGAGTCCGTGAGGAAAGTGGACGCCTATGAGTGACCACAACGTGACAGACAGTGAATGAGTTGTGCAAAAGTTTTGCAGCAAAACATCTGTTTGAGAGTATCGATGGTTTAAAAGGCAATGAGAAAAGTGAATGAAAATGCATTGAAAACGTACTGAAAGGCAACGAAAGGCATGACAACAACAACAATGAGCCGAACGCCTATTGGTTGAGACGACTGTAAACATTGCACTCATTGTGAGACTCATTGACGCGATTCTCATCGCCTAATGTAAGCCATCGCTCAGTGATTGCATTGAAGCCAATGTTAAGTCACTTTTCCTTCACTATTATTATGATTACTCTTGTATTTCAATACTGTCTATGAATTGACAAATTCATTGTTTCGCTAATCATTTCAATTGATCCGCGCATTTGTGTCCGCAATAAATGCCATTCACTCAACACTTATAGCCACTAATCCAGTGATCTATTAGTCTATTAAACAATTGTCCACTTTTTTAAACACACTTTTTATTTGGCATTTCTTTTCATTGTTTTTATCAAATATTTTTTGTTTCAGTTTTACTGCGATTTTATTTTTTTAATTGTCTTTTATGTGAAATACAGCACAAAATCTGCGCTCATTTTCATTGAATTTAAAGTTTATTTTTGAATTAGTATTGAATTTATTGAACAACTAATATATTGTCGACGAATTTGTATTGATTATTGATTTTTTAATTCATGTGTTTTTTCTCAATGACTGAACGATTACTTTGAATACTAATTAATAATTAATTATATTTTAATAAATTATATCTCGATATTGGGATCAATTAAAGGCCAAAACAATATTGAAAATAATAATATAAAAATTGTATGAATTTGTGACAAATTGTGAGAAATGGGAAATTGTCTCAAATCTGTGTCATCTCATGACGACATCTCTTTGTTGAGGGAAAACACATCCAATACAAGAGACTCGACTTCATCGGAACAATTGGCCACATCTTTAGGTCCGCCACCGACTTATCAGGTCTGTTGTGCTCTCAAGACAATGATTGTGACCTCAGATTGTATTGACTCATTGTATATTGTTTTAGGAGACGATCGGAACAATGCTTCCAACACTTCCCGTATACTATCCGTCACCAAATGTGAGCCGAAGTGCGGCTCAACTGACAGAAGAGGAACAGATAAAGATCGCACAGAGAATGGGTTTAATACAACACTTGCCGACCGGTGTATACGATGGCAGCAAAAAGAATAGAGAGTTTGTATCCATCGATTGCTTTGACCACTCTTTTCACACCATATGATTGTCTCTCTCCGACAGATGTGTGATATGTATGGGAGAGTTCTTGATCTCAGAGCCGATCCGATTCCTGCCGTGTATGCATATATACCACACCGATTGTATCGATGATTGGCTGATGCGGTCGTTCACGTGTCCGTCATGTCTGGAACCGGTGGACGCGGCCCTCCTCTCCACTTATCAAACGGATTAACGCAAACCAATAACTCTCACATATATTGATATATTCACGACTCATCTCTTGACTGGAATCTAATATGAAATCCTCTTCTCATTGAATCAACGCTTAATGTCATAAAAGCTATCATTCCTTAAGATATATACTGTATGTCATCCAAAATGTGCGACAGATTTGAGTCAACCAATCAGTGAATGATTTGAAGGCAATTAATGTGTTCTAGTCTTGGGTTATCTCATCATAAGAAATGGTGCGAATAGTTGGTCGCCAATTGTTACCTTAGATTTAAAAGTGATATTTAATTCAATTTAATTATAAATATATATATATATTGAATACAATTTGACACAAAGACTATAATTGAAAAAATAAATAACGAATTAGAAGTATTTGTAAATTACAAGCTCTCCATACAAATTACATGAATAGCTCTTTTTGTAGATAACATTATGAAAAATATGTATTAATTGTGTAAATATTGTTCGCAATCATAGAATATATGCTATTTTAATGTCTATATTATTGTTGAAAGAATAAGAAGAATATATGTATATAATTATATGTATATTCGTTTCCTATCCTCAATGAGGTCCTAATCTTTAGGATTAATATTTGTTTTTAAGTGATTGATTCAAAACAAGTGGAAGAATCCTTTAATTTTGACTTTCAAGTGATATGAAATATATTTGTATTTTATCTTAAAATCAATGTTAAGTGCATTAAGTTTTGATATATATCTGGCAGTTATTTGATACTAAATATTAAGTTATAATTAACTTATCATTAAAACAAACCAATTATATATTTAACACAACAAATGGATAACTAATTGATTAAACGTTGAGATGTGATGAAAATTATGATTAAATTCCGACTTTAAAAACACCATTTATTAAAGACACAAAAACTGAATCTTAATTTATTTAATTATAATTTATATATATTCTCGACATTAATAGTATTAGTCATAAGTATTAAAATAATTATTATTTCAAATAAAATAAAATCTCTTTATAAAAAACAAGTCGCAAATCAAATACTTTATTACAAGTAAATAAAAGTAATCGAAATATTTATTTATAGAAACGATTTATGAAACCAATCGATTCGGAAACCAGTACTGTATAAGTCATGCTTTCAATTAATATATTACTCTCTTTTGATAGTTTTTGTACACAATTTACACAATCATTCATAAATAATTATTACGTGTATTATAATTACATAATACTATCAATTCTAGGCTAATATTAGATTCCATTCAAAACACATCTAAATTGCATTCTTTGTGTGGAAAATGTCATTATTATAATCAGTAAATACTTTGTGTTAATATAAAAAATATTTTTAGTTAATTATTTGTATTAAATTGAAACAAAAACTTAAACACAAGTGAAATGATAGGAAAAAAAGACAATGGATAAAATAGGAATCGCTGAATAGAAGATCAAGTGTTAGATCAATCGTAATTGTGTGAGATTTGAATGGCAGAGGAGTTAAGTAATGGGAATTCCGTTTGAGTTTGTGTTTGTGTGGATGTGAATAGAGTTGTGCCCGAAATATCACATTCGCTCTCATTGTCTAAATATCTGAGAATTACATCATTTATTTGATCCAAATGTTCGTCGGTTTGAGTGGTTCTGTCGTTATTCCAAATGGTTTGCGTCTCGATGTCTGCGAACTCAAAGATTTTGAAGAGATCCAGATCTTCATCCGTACATAAATTGTCAAAATCATCGGCATTTAGGTCTTGATTAACAGTTTGTGTTTCAATATTATTGAATTCGTGGACAAACGAGACATCGATGGCCTCCGTTTGGACCGATTGCTCCAAAATAGCATTCGTTGTATTCATTTCACTCAACAGTGGATTGAAATCAAACAAATCCAAAGAAGTGGAAGCAATCGATGGGTCAGTGGTTTGAGTGAAGGCGCAAGACTTGGACTTCACTTCATTAACAGCACTCGTGTTGACGTCTAAACGATTTCTTTTGGCTCTCTTCGGAGGTGTTGTCGAAGTGGACGCAGAGATTTGGATCCGATTCGAGACTTGTTTGGCGTGAAGAGCGCTCTCAAGGGTTTGCGTTTCAATGCTTTCAAAGTTGTTGTTTAACTGCGGCTTTCGGTTACGCTTTCTAATGGTCTGACAGTCAGTACTTCTGGACTCTCTATATTTGGATGATTTATGATTCAATCGTTGATCGGTTTGTATGGAAATGGACTGATATTTCTTGGCATTTGTTTGCATGTGTTTAACCGGAGATTTCATTTTGCATTTCTTGCACTCTTCTATGGCATTGGTTTGCGTGGAATCGCTTCTCACAGACATTGAGTCTAAAATGTGGTCACTTTTTGGTAAAATATTCACTGGTCTTTGATTGGCGTTATTTGAATCAACAATCAGTGGTAAGACTATAGTAACCAATTGGACATTAATCGGAGTCGCCTTCGGATCCGTTTTGCATTTCTTGATGCAATCGTTTGGTGACAATACGTGTGAATGTCTTTTGCAATGCATTATTAAAGACAGTCTTTCGGTATAACTCTTCGGACAGGAACCGCATCTCCACTGAAGGCCGCAAGACTTCTCATGATATTTGAGTTGCCATTCAATGGCGTATTTCTTGTGGCACTTCTCGCACGAGAACTTCTTCTCCGAGTGTTTGTTTGCGATGTGCTGTCAATGGATTCAATGGATCAGACAATCGGACAGACATTCAATACATGTAAACAACAAACGGATCATTACTTGCGTTAAGAAGAGTTTGCGTTTGAAGTGTTTGTCACCGGAGAGGCCGTAAACACAGCCATCGATCGGACAATTGAATCGATTGTCTTCGTCTTTGCCGACCATTCCTTCAATTCATGGATTCATTCAAATCTTTGGTTTCATTAAGAAATGAAAATCAAAATTGTTTTCAAAAATTGACACCAATTTAGAGATCAATTGAATGCATACCTAATAAGGGATGAATCGATGGCTCAAATCATACGAACCACTCCTGAGGACAGGTGTCTGACACACGAGTGATGGTGTCTTCGGATATCACTTAATAGTGACAGTAATTGACAGTCAATTGAGATGTGATTTAATAAATGAAATTTAGATTCAAAGCAAACGACAAAATTGTATACAAATGTGTGAAACGCTTGCAATCCATACGACGGCTGAGACTACACTTTACTCCCACTTTTAGCGCATATTTTGATTACATTTGCATTTATTTTACAGAATATTCTGTGAAGTGTTTTGTCATTATTTGATTGTTTTAGTTTCACTTTTGAACCACAATTCACACATGAATGTGATTTATAGGTTTGTTCATTGATAAGTGCAGTAAACACAACCCAATGAGATGTGCCTTCTTTTGATGGACAACATGTCCTCCAAAGTAAGTGTCAAGAATCTGGACTCTCATAGAAACACTATATAACACTTAATACCGTTTGACTGTCTGTGCGGTTCAATTCAATTGTTCATAACTCTTAAAATCAACTGAAACTTGTTTAGCAAAAATATTTATTAATTCAATCAAAAACTAAAATACAATTTAAAATAAAACACAAAATAAAATAAATAAATGTGAGAAAAGGATTGGCTTAGGGTTTGTCGCGAAGAGATTCTGGATCTATATATCCTTTGGATTTAGTTATCGGATGAATGAGACTTTTGCCGCTCAACATTTGCATTTATTTTACAGAATATTCTGTGAAGTGTTTTGTCATTATTTGATTGTTTTAGTTTCACTTTTGAACCACAATTCACACATGAATGTGATTTATAGGTTTGTTCATTGATAAGTGCAGTGAACACAACCCAATGAGATGTGCCTTCTTTTGATGGCCACATGTCCTCCAAAGTAAGTGATTTTTGAGTGACAAGAATCTGGACTCTCATAGAAACACTATATAACACTTAATACCGTTTGACTGTCTGTGCGGTTCAATTCAATTGTTCATAACTCTTAAAATCAACTGAAACTTGTTTAGCAAAAAATATTTATTAATTCAATCAAAAACTAAAATACAATTTAATTTAAAATAAAACACAAAATAAAATAAATAAATGTGAGACAAAGATTGGCTTAGGGTTTGTCGCGAAGAGATTCTGGATCTATATATCCTTTGGATTTAGTTATCGGATGAATGAGACTTTTGCCGCTCAACCGCTCGATCCTCTCCTTATCCTCGAGCTCTTTGTCGAGTCTATGGACTCCAAACTTTACGAGTTTAGTCTTTGTCTCGGCGTTCAGTTTTACCGGTGTTTTAGGCTTTTTGTCGGTCTTAACGGTTGCGCTGTCTTTAATCGCTTCCTGTTTTTCCCTTCGCTCGACATCTTTGGGTTCAGTAGTGGTGTCCGTCGTATAACTGTCCTCTAAATGTGTGTAGTTTTGGCCGAAAAACGCCAAAAGTAAACAGTATTTTACAAGAGCTAATAATGAGAGCCAAAACGTGAACTGAACTATAAGACCAACTATGAAAACGCCGACAACTATTAACAACGCATAGACATCGCGATGGTTTTTGGGCATTAGGTTCACAATCGGTAAAGTAATGTCTTTGAACAGTAATTGTGTGCCAATCGATGAAATGATGGCCACAGCGAAGACAGACATCAAATACAAGACTCGGACGAAAGCCCAGAAACAGTCCGTATTAACCGGTGCTTTAGTTTTCGGTTTGCGATATGTTTTGATATAACGGACGTAAACGTAAGCAATGGTATCCGTTATGACGAAAGACAACAAACCAGACACAGCCAGACATACGATATATTGAAGGCTTGAATCGGGGTTTGAATTCACGATTAAGAATATCAGGAAATAGTTGGCAAAAAATGTCAAATTGAATAGAAATGCGTAAAACAGCGACACTTCAAACAAATCAAGTCTCGTTTTAATGGCCACCGCTTTCACAGACTTTTCATAATCAGTCACTTCTTCTCCAGACTCTTGTATTAATGGGTTTTCGAAGTTTGGACACAGAATTTCATTGGAGAAGAGTCTCAACTGTTGGCGTTTCACAGATATCTCTTTGGATTCTATGAGATCATAGCCTCCTTTGATGTACTCTCGGACCGGGAAATACAGTCGCCTTCCCGTCCACTCGTCCTCCACTTCAATGCCATTCATGAATATAATCCCTAAAAGTGACACATTTTTATAGTAATGAAAACTAGATTCAAATCCAATGTACAAACCCTCGATGTTGTTGTGAACGGCGTTTAATCTGCTGAAAATGATGGGCCAATTGTTGTCAGATTTTATA